AAAAAGCCTGACCCTGGACCCTAAACCCCCTGATCCCCCTTAAACTACCTGAACCGGCTAAACCCCCTCTGTAAATCAACCTCAACCCTAAACCCACCTAAAATCACGGGCCCGAGGAAAGGACCTCCATTTCTTGGGCCATGTGTAGAGCCCGGCTCCACCTCAAACTGCGCCAGGTACGTCATCGTGCTATGATCCCTCTTATACGGGTTACTATGAAGCTGACCAGGGTTACATAAAGAGCTACTAGAAGGCTTACAAGACGTAAAGGGCTACTTTGAGGCTTACAAGGGTTACAGCAGGGTACCAAAAGGCTAAAGGGGGCCACTCTCCCTGAACTCTAAATCCTAATCCCAGTACCAGAGTCACGGCATACCTAATACTAATGCCACATTGACATTGCAGTACATGGTCAGGATATGGGAGGACCTTGCTGAGGGCACTCTGGCCATGCCACTAGGAATCCAATATGTAGGTTCAACCAAAATCGGAACTACAATGGAGACTATTATAGGCACCGCTTGACAAGTGAAGCTGAAAGATATGTGCTGCATTGGACAATGCTAGATAATTTCGGCAACAACATGATCCTTTCTGATACAGAACACTGCAGGATACCACATTACAGCCTACTCAGGCATGGCCAACACTGCGTGGAACATTCAGGTCAGATCGTGCGAGGCTTCACTAGATCACTAGGTTGCGGCATACGCCTTTTGCAGTTGAGTCATGAAGCAAAGTCGGAGCTCTCATATCGTACTGCGACATAGCTTGTTGGCTGTTTTTGGGTGCAGTGGCCCTTCTCCGCATGACCACTTCAGAGGTTTACACTCAGAACAGGCAAGCTACGACCCACTCACAGAGGGGTTGAGCTTTTAGGGCTTGGGGTGTTGCTGCTTGTAGTTGAGGCTTCAGGGAGGGATTTAGGGATTATGGCTTCGGGGAGTCATACCCATCGTTAACGCTGCTGCAGTTCTATGGCGGCACGAGAACTCGGACTGTTCCAATTTAGCTACCTACAATGGAAAACTATCTTAAAAGACCTAAGTGCAGTCGGGTCTTAGAGTATGGTGGTGACAAGGAAAGAATTTGAATGACCGCTGAGGTGTCCAGGAAGGTCTCACAAGCCCAAAACCGTTAGCCCGCTGTAGTATTCATCGTAGGGTTTTGGGGTTTAGGTATTGGCACAGGGTAACTTTAATTATCTGAGCAATCTCCCCCCCCCACTTGAAACCCTTTCAGGGCATGGGATGTCGGGAAATTCTGAATCGACTCTGCCCTCATGATTATGACGCTAAGATGCGCCTGAGGAGATCGAAAGCATCTTGGATTCACATCCCACATCCTCGGCCTAGACTGACTAAGCTGATGCAGCAGTGTTGCTCGGAGCCAGCAGCTAATGCAGCCACGGCTGCACCCAGGCACACGACGTCACAGCGGATCTGGATTGAGAGCTTCGGGTCTCGGGTTGTCAATTTCTCCGGTTTAGGGGAGCCAGGTATGTAGGTGTCTCGAGCTTTACCCCGCCTTCCACAAAAAGGATAAGCCTGAAATGCCAGAGCTTTTTCCGAGCATAGACTACATCAGCCAACCAATGACCTCAAGCCGAATTCTCTAAAGAGAAAGCAAGGGCCTGTGAGGCCATCATCGTTTGCACAAGTGCCACCGCTGACTGCCAGGCCTCTTGATACCCTGAACCCCTAAACCCTAAAACGTGTCTCACGGAGTCTAGCGGCTTCGGTCTTTGAGGTTGAACTATTAAATGGGGTTCTATGGGAGTTGAGGCATGTTCCGGAAAATTCTGTCGGATTCCGGCTGGGGGATGTTGCTATAGGCTGTTTAAGGTCCAGGAGCTGGCTCCAGGATGAACTACAGAGTTCAGAGTTTAGGCCTCAGGGGTTCAATTCACAAACCACTGGTGTCAGTAGCTCTTCAATTCAAGATTCAAGAATTAGCAGCTCACTGCGCGGAAATTCCAAAGATCGGGTGGTTCGCAGCGGAGACACGACATGCGGCTTAAAAAGGAATCTGAATCCGATAACCTTCCCCGAAAGAACCGTTTCTCGTGAGGAAAACAAGAAGCTTTACGGTTCGAGTGCCAATCCTAACACTAAACCCAAGTTCTAAGAAAGCTCGACGGCAGAAGAGAATAGATTGCGCTCCACTGCCCACAGCTTGCTGTATCCGGCCCTCTGCCGGCCTGGTCCCGGTCGAAGGCCCTCTTAAGGGACCCCATTATTGAACCTAAAGTACCCCTCAAGGGAACCCCATAATAAGAACCTCGTAGTACATGTTATGGGGCCTACTGCAAAGCAGACCAGACCATCCGGGACTCTACAGCCCAATTGCTTGCAAGTGTAAGTAGTCCAAGGAGCTGCTGACTTTTCGCATGCACTAATGGCTGCGCTGCAACCTCAGCAACAAGCCGCACGCTTGCTAATGCTATGATACATCTGACGAAATCTTCGTGCATGGAAGCCCATGTAGTGGACGCCGCTGCACGAAATGCTGGCGCACCCCGGGACCTGATGTCAAGCCCTGGCAACGACAAAGGCCGTGGGCCTGTTGAAGAAGCTCTGGCTCATGAGACCTTCTTTACATTAATATTCATAATGCATAGACTTCGGCACGCATGCGAAGCGATCTGCTCAGATTCATGGTTGGTCAGTACATACGAAGGGTTGATTTCAATTCGCTCGCCCAATTATCTGCCATCACATATCGCATCCAGCCCGAAGAAGCTGTGTGCTTGATAGCGCAGTAACACATCGGAGGAACGGAAGCCAATATCTATGCCAGGAAATCACAGGAATCTCTCAAAACAAACGCTGACGGAGCGTGTACTTCGGCATCCACCGGATGTTCGAATCGACTACCAAGGCGCTGATGACATCACGCTGCACGCTCCGAACGTCCATGTCCTCGCAAGCTGGATGCTTACTACTCCGGGCAGTACTGATCTACTATGAACTATGATAATAGAGTTCAATATTATAGAATGCATCATGATATACCATGATATACTACATATAGCATACTACCATGTATTATTTAATGGCAATGTGCTACGTCTGGTCCTGTCGGCCTGGTGTCTGTCTATTCCGACCCACATCGCGGCATCGGTTTAGGGTTGAGGGGGTTAGCGGGTAATGCCAAGCCCCGGGTCTGCACAATGGCCATGACGGTCATGGTTCATGCAAACTGAAAAATGCGAGACCAGCAAAGCCGCCGATAGCAGAGGCCACGCAACTGCAAAAACCGATGAAGAAAGCCTTGGACTCTTACAGGCTCGATAAAGGCCACCATAATGGAGAGTGTATGTATGTATGTATGTGTGTATGTATGTATATATGTATGTATGTATATATATATATATTAAGTAGACTCAGTAGACATAAGTATAAATAAATATATCTTTGCGACTAGTCTTGAAGTCTTCCAGCCTCCCTCCCTCAACCCAGCCTTGTTTAGGGCTTTAGGGTCCAGGGTTTAGGATGTAGGGTGTAGGGCTAGGGTTTTTGGCTTTGGTTTGTAGGGTTATAAGGGTCTAGGGCAAACGTTAACCCTACTGCCTATTGCCTCCCGAAGACTGGAATATGTCGGCCACCTGCAGCAGGAGCAGCGCCAAAAGCCATTGCGAGCCCCGCTCGCAAGCACTGAGAGCTGCACCAAACGAAAACCTCGCATCCACTTCGATGAATCATGCAGTGTGCGTTTGAGGCACATTTTACTCTGACCTCGTTGAGGTGTCAGACTCGCTGCGATACTGCAGTATGCGAGTATTGGCCGTTGGGGCAAAGGAAATGATACATCAGAGCAGAACGCAGATGCGAGCAGCGGCAGACATGATTTCGATTGCATTTAGGCGCACCCACCCGTCTCAGACACCGTGGAGGTCTCCCAGAGGCATGTGCTGTACAAAGGAGCTATATGTTTCCATGCCATCATGGATCAAAAGTGGGTCAGGCAAAACATCCGAGAATCCTCGGATCGGTCTGTCTTTGGCGGCTGTCGCCAGGTTAGAGATTATTGCGAACATGGAGGAGGAACTCCGGTTGTCAGCTGGGGCTCGCTAATAAGGGCCTCGATTATTAGAACAAGGCTTTGGGGGTCGTAGAATTAGGAGACATCGGTAACACCCCTGCTCATTCTGGTTGAGCCTTGCTGCAAACAGGAGCTCCCTTGTCATCTTCGTCACCTACTGGTGTATGCCACCCTCGCAGAATCCTATGAATGTGCCAGCTAGGCCCAGCTAGGCAACACTTGCCAACAGTCTTGGCTAGTGCTTCTGGGCACCAGATGTTGCAGAAACACTGCTCAACTTGGGGCTTGCACAAGCCGTCAAATGTAACTGCAGCCCAAAACCTACTCCTTTACGGGTCCCTGTTATGGTTTCTTTCTACAAGTCCTTAGAAAAGGGTACAGGGCCTAGGACGGAAAGTTAGTTCCGTGGTGGATGGCTCATGGCGTGCTCGAAGGCTTCTTGAAGAGGTGCGCCCTCTGTGGCCATGGTAAGATACTCCAAAACCGCTTGATTAGGAACATACCGTAAGTTATCATTGGAACCCTAATGAGAATCAAGGTATATTCCTTCATTAAGGGGTTTGGGAGTCTCTGGATGCAAATGTGGATTTGCAGGCGACCGCTGATTCTGGGCTTCATGTGCAGCTCTCTCTCTGAGAGCATTTTTCGTGAATCAAGTGTGAGTCTAAAACTTGCGATCCTGTATTGCCACAAAGAGGCCTTTAAGGGTTTAGGGTTTAGGGTGTTCTATTAGGGCTGCTACAGCAAACACTTAGGGTTTAAATAATGAGAGGCACTTCTGAAGCCCAAAGACTTGCTAGGAAAAGGCCATCGCCCGCGTAATCAAACAGTAACTTGCTCACGAGCTCCTGAGCCACGAGCAGCCAATTTCAGGGTCTAGGAGTCTAGGGTTTAGGGTACTGCACAGGACTCGACTCAAGCCTTCTGTCTTCCCGATGATCTCATGTCCAAACTGCTCAGGAAACGAGCTGTGGCATATTCTGAATGCTGTCGGATCCTTCTGTAAGGGTCAGAGCTTTTTCGGCCGATCCGACGGAAGGCGGCGGCACTCTCAGCTTTAGGGTCGCCTCGAAGCCCACATTTCCAACCACCATCACGAGGCGTGAAGACATCTTGTCTTCCTTGTCTGCGTACCCATACACTACCCTACACCCCAAGACATAATCAGCTATATGTTGCGGAGAAGAGAAGGATGAAGAGATAACACAAGATTAGAATGCCTTACACGGACAATGGACAGGAAACCACTTCCAGGCGATGAGTGAACTTTGGCGCATGCTGCACTTCAGCTCGATGAAAGGCTCATCCGGAGCAGCTGGGATAATGAGAAATTCCTGATATTTACTGGAGGGCGAAAACGGGCAGTGAGCAGAACAACATGATCTAGAACCACATGCCATAATTATAAGCCATTCTAGAAGAAAGCCTTGGAGTTGCCGTGGTATAAAACGACAGTAGACCTTACACCGGAACAGCCATAACATGTTCCTCAGTGGAAGCAAGCCAAGCGTCAGAAATGCCCACGCGAAAGCTCAGGGCAACGCTCTTCAGAAGGCTAGCTTGGCCTGGGGATCAGGAGCTTGTTGCTCCTCTGCCAATACCATAACGTGCTCTTTTGGTGTTCTATGACGAGGAAAGACGCAGGCACAGACGAGGCTGGATTGGAATTGGCTGTGGCTATCCTTGCTGCTCCCATGCTTCCTTTTTCGTAGCATGATCCGCAACACCATCTGTTTTCAGATTGCAAGGAAGTGCTCGTGGGTGCTGGCCGAAGTAGCACGGCAGCAGTCACAGTGTGGCCTGGCAGCCCTCAGACCGTAAGCCGTAGTATGACAGCAGCAGCAGCAGAAGCAGTTGTAGTAGTAGTCGTCGTCGTCGTAGTCGTAGTAGTAGTCGTCGTAGTAGTAGAAGTAGTAGTTGCTGTTGTTGTTGTTGTTGCTGCTGCTGCTGTTGTTGTTGTTGCTGCTGCTGTTGTTGAAGTATGGCAGCGGTAGTGGTGGTAGTCGTGGTAGTAGCAGCCGCCAGTAGTAGCAGTACATAGCAGCAGTACCAGCAGCAATAGTGTCGAAACAGCCAATGGCGTCGACGGTAGACTATTTATAACCATCGGTCGCCTAGCGCTCCCATCATGGCATAGCCGTCGGTGTCCAGCCAGCCGAGGAAGACGCCGGCAGACACCCCCACCCCGGTGTAGGCCTGAAGCATTTGCTGAACCAAGAGGACGCCCAACTCTGTACTTCATTTGCACAGTGTAAATTGCCAGATAAAAAAACGGCTACACTCTGCAGGAGCCATGTTGCTTGCAAATCAAGCTGAAATCGTGGAAAGCCCTCGGACCCTAGGAGTGGGGATGCGAGCCTTCTACAAACCGAGCTCTGGATTTTTTGGGTCGTGGCCCTGGAGGACCTCTGAACTTCTCAAGTCTACAAAGGCCACAATCCTGCGACCCTTTGACACAATTCAGGGAACCCTTAAGGGAACCCTTCGCAGTTAGTTGCTACTGGACGGTAGTAGAGTAATATATCTCGCGCGACTGACTTTTGTTTCTTTTGATTGGAGCCTTGTTGGAAGGTGGCAATGCTCTGACATGCTTAATCAATCCGAGGTTGTTTGGGATTCGGCGGACCTCGCAAGGTCTACTTCTTTCAAAGACCACTGCTCGTCACTACGTGCCCAGGAGCATAGAGGGTGCCCCGCACAGACTCGACGATGTCGCTCGTCACATCGGCGCCGATGAGCTGCACAATTTCTGCTGCCACATGTGGAATTGCTGCCACGATGTCCTGGCCCAGAGTCTCTAGTGCACTTTCCAAGGCACTATGTACGAGTTTGGCTATAGACTATTAGACCTCATCAGGCAAGGCCTCACACAAGCTTTCACAACGTATTCAGCTGTGAAGTCCAAGCAGCGTCGATGACGGGCAGCGGGTTCTGTGCTTTGACATTTCGCAACACTTCAGCGATGGTGCGCCCCTGTCCCATGTAGTGCTTGGTGACCATTGCCTCTGCCGTTCTCTTTTCACAGCTGCTGGGATTGCTACAGCTTGCAGCAAGTGCTCAGCAAATCACAGGAAACGGACCGTCAACGGACGTCGAGGGGCCAAATCCGTGAACACACTGAAGCAATATCCCTTACAGTTACCTTTACTACAGACCTTACAGGAACCCTGGTAGCAAGGCTTACTATATGGTCATAGAGACTTTAACAGAAAATCATAGTAATTCTCAAAGACTTTGGGCCCCTATACCTAGAGGGTCCTACCCTACCCCTTTTGAAGGGTACCTCTGTCAGATAGACAAGTAGGCACCCTGAACATGGCCCTACAGGTAGAGCGGAACCGAGAAAGCAGAGGCGGGGCCCAGTCTTCTCTCCACATGCTAACCCTGAACCCTAAACCCTTCCACAAGGGGTTTGTAAGGGCTCTGCAAGGGATGTCCAAATATAATATACTGGTCAGTTGGGACCGCTTCCTTTGTTCATGTAGGGGCCTTAATAATTAGAATAGGGTTTTGGAGTATAGTCTACCAAATTAATAATAAGGAACTCCCTAAATAGTATAGGTTATTTTAAATGCCCCTATGTTCGGCCAAGGCGCCATGCCATCCAAAATCAGGCCGTCGCGGATGTCACGCACACCCGCCATCGCTGTAATGCCTTTCCTGACACTTCGGGCCCAAGAGTTATGTGGAAGTTTCTGAACATTAGAAAGACTACGGCACCCGAAACCCAGAAAGAAGTTAATGTAGAAGCCTCAATAATTAGACTAGGGTTTGGGGGTCGACTATACTATAACTAGAATCAGGAACCCCCGAAAATAATATTGGTAATTAGCTAGACTCCTATAGCAAAAGCTAAAGCATAAAAGCCCTCAACAAGCAGAAAAGAGTCCCTTTGATGCCCACGTTGAGCTTCGGCTGGAGCTCAAAGCCTGAAAAGATCAAGCTTTTTGAGTTGGAATTCAGGTTTTGTGGTATTGGCATCAGCAACTACGAGCTTTATTCTTATTCGGATATTGGTTTTAGAATTGGTCTCGGGGGATTGCTTTTGTGGTGGATTGGAGTCTGGAAGTCGGGCAGAAGTGTCATTCAAGCGCCAAAGGCCGCAACGAAAAGCTGCAGCTTTCTAAACCCCTAACCCTGTACCCTCAACCCTGAACCCGGAACCCTCAACCCTGAACCCTAAACCCTGAACCCTAAACCCTGAACCCAAGCAACCAAGAAGTCCTGAGACTCGAAACAGAAGAGCCCTCCAAGGTGCAAACGGTTTAGGGCTTTGGTTTCCTTACATATGGTTTAGGATAAAGGTTTCTTGAAATAGGGTGCAGGGCTTAGTTGTTTCTGTTTAATGGGGCTTAGGGCTTTTTGTAGGGTATGCAGGCTCTCTGGCCTTCGTTGCTGAGCTGGAGAGGGCCAAGGTGCAGTTGCAGCGGATTGAAACACTCCTGGCATGAGCACCCAGGACACTTAACGATCAGAGCAGTGCACCCGAATCTCAACAAGAACCATTGCCATCGTTCATACGAGCAGGCAGAGTCTGCTGTGGCAACAGCAGCAGCAGCAGCAAGAAGTTAACAGCAACGTAACAATCACATGCCACAACCAACAACCACGAGAAACACTACAGCAACAAAAACGACGAAAGGGGCAGAGGCGCATGAGGAGAAAACGGAGGTGAAGGTGGAGTAGTGGAGCCGCAGCACGTCTGTGATGTTCGGCTTATGTTCATGACGATCCTGCATATCTAGCTTTGAAATGATATAACCACAAATCCGATTATTGCCATGCTCACCGTCATGAAGATCCAGACAACACCCGGATTCTGTAAAGGGTTCTAGACTACACCCGGATTCTGTAAGGGTTCTATATTCCATATGGTTCTGTACGGGTTGGCGGGTTAGGCTGATGAGTAGATATGTGGCACGTTGCAGGTCTTCCGAGGCCACACCAGCGCTAGGGCAAGAAATCCCAGAACACTTCTGGTGCTGCTTTAGGACCCGGTTCAAGGCTTAGGCTTCCACATTTTGGGTTCAGGGTTGAGCTTTGAGTTTGGGCCTGAAGCTTGCTGTCTTCCTCATGGCCTCCCGCCATCTCCCGTGTGCCCTGCTGGCCTGGCTCTTGACACTGCGGCCGCCGCAGCCGCCCATCTTGTGAAGGACCCTGGCGAGCAGTCGTGACAGCTTAACATGCGCTAGGCACACTCCTAGAGACTCCAAAAACCCCTTATCTAAGGAATATACCTTAACGCTTACGGCTTACGAGGGTTCCTATTAAAATTTTAGGGTATGTTCCTTGATCAAGGGGCTCTGGAGTCTTTGGGCTTAGAGCTGAGCCAAGAAGCGGCTTTCCTTCTGTCAACTCAGGTCCACTTCTGGGCCGAGTCTGCAGGATGTGCTTTTGAGAGTGGATGCCCCTCCAGCCGCAAAGCAGGCGATGATTGAGCCGAGATGATCACAAAAGCACATCCGTATGGTTGAAGCAACAGATGTCACCATCATTTCGACCGGGCTCGTAATGCGAAGGCAAAACGATGGAAACGGTCCGATGCGATGTAAGAAAATGCAATGCACTGAATTGGAGTGTGATGCAATACCGTAAGCCCTACGACAACAACGACTACGACTACGGCTACGACTGCTGCCAGGACCAGGACCAAGGCAAGGGCCACTAATGCGCCGACGACCGCCACCACCACCACACGTGCCACTACTACGACTAACACTACCGTGACGACAACACCAACAATCACAACGACGACTGCCACCGTTACTGCTACTGCTACTGTTACTGCTACCACCACTACTACGACTACGATTTCTACTACGACTACGATTCCTCTTACGACGTCGACCACCACCACCAGCGCCACCACTACCCACTACGAACTGATACTACTGTACTGTATCACTGCCACGACTGCCACCACGCGACGACTACGACCGCGAAATACCACTATCACTGCCATGACGACTATGTCTCCGACAGCGGCTACGAATTGATGCAATCTTGCTACTGGTACTATCAATAGGACAGTCCTTGTTGCCACCACTGAAATCGCAAGGCATCATGTTCAAAACAAAGCCTAGCGTGCAGCCAAGCAGCACATTTGGTTGCAGGCTCCTGGTTTCCGCAAGTCAGCTGCATTTTACAGTCCTAAAGCTTACAATGAATGTCGGGTTCAACCGGGGGCAGGCTACCGCCACTACCCGGGGAATTGAAACGGTAGGACAGTCTTAATGCAACATCACACAGAGAAATCACCGTTTCGTATTCATCGTCATCATCGTCATTATCATCATCATCATCATCAACCGTCATCCTCATCAGCACCATCATCACCAACATTGATACGTACCAACATCAATATCATTCTCCGACTTCAGCCATCATTGAATCCCCCCAGCCTCGACATCATCATCGTTGAAGGCATCATAGGATCAGCGGCACCGTCTTCGTTCTTTGCATCATCAAAATATTCATCATCAACGTCGTCATCATCAGCAGCAGCCACGCTCCCGTCATCACCTTTGATCAGCACCATCATCATTAACATCATTATCTCAACATCATCAAGTCCGCACCCTGATGCCATGCATCCGAAAACTCATATGCACGAATGGAGTCTAGGGACTGTTCAGGCATGGACTGGAGGTAGCTCAGCGCCCGCTGCCATGCCGACTGCCCTGAGACAGACACGACCGGCTTGTAGCCGTGGAACTACAATCCCCATCTGATACAACAATGTCAAAGCTCGGATAGCCGGAAGTCGAATCAGCACGGGTCAAGGCGCTCGGTTTTCATCTGTCTCAAACTTGTATAGGTAGAGATCTTGAAGTGCTCTGGTTGTGGGACGTTGATGATTGTTGCAGCAGCAGTCGTAGCGGTAGTGTTGGTATCCGTCGTAGTTGTCGTCGCAGTCGCAACCGTAGTTGGTATTACCATTAGTCTTTTTAGTACACTTCTTGTCATCATCATCATCATCATCATCACATGCATGCTTCTCATTTTTCTTACTATAGTCTTGACATTCTTGTAGTTACTGATTTTGCTGCTGTTGCTGTTGCGCTCTTGTTATTGCTGTTGTTGCTGCTGTTGTTTGTTGTCGTTGTTGTTGCTGTTGTTGTGGTTGCGGTTGTGGCTGTGGTTGCTGTTGTTGTCGTCTTAAAAGTCTTAGATATCGTTATCATCACCATTCTACATTTCTTACTGATATTGTGACGTGCTATTGATACATCGTGTGACGTGATATTCTTGGTACTACTATTGCTATTTTGAACTTGATGATTAGCATCAATTAGTCGTCGTCGTCGTCGTCGCCGTCGTCGTCGCAGCAGTAATGGTTGACGTTGCTGTTGCTGTTGCTGCTGTTGTTGTTGTCGTTGCTATAGTTGTGGTGGTGGTCGTCATCGTGGTCGTAGTCATCGTCCTCAAAGGGAATTTATTTATATTACAAACAGTAGCAGTGGCGTCAGTAGTGCACTAGTCGCGGTCGTCATGATCGTCGTGGTCATTGTGGTCGTCCTGGTCGTGGTCGTTGCTGCCAGAGTCTAGATGAATGCAGTAACGTGTTAACTGTTATGAGCAATGAAAACGAAGCATGACTGAGTAACTTCGGACAGTGACAAGTCAAGATCTGCACAGGTCCGTTTTCTCAGTGTGCATTCAAGCTACATAGTTACGCTGCACACCAGCGCACTCAAGCCCAAGTCTTCCTGAATCTACTTGAAGTTATTGATCCTGGTGGATTCAAAGCTCATCACGACAGCTTGGCCTCAAGACCCCAAAAATACCAAGGTCAGCAACGGGACTCGCCAGCCCCCGGATCGTGCGAGTCGCCCCACGCAGCGCATCCTCCCTGCACTTTCAGGGAAACGGGATTTTCGGATCGAAGGGTTTGCGATTTCACGGCCACGTTGCGTCGATGATGTAGCGCTTTGGCTGCAATTAAATTAAGAAGCACGACATCCCTCAAACAAGCTCCAAAAAAATACTTGATCTGGTCATGAACCCTAAACCCTAAACCGTCAAGCCGTCGTCAGGCACAAGCCCTGAACCCGGAGCCTGCTGGCAGTCTGGACGCTGGCAGGCAGCATGAAAATCGAGGTAGCTAATTCAGGTGCAGAAGTTTGGCTGTGGCCTGATTCGTGTTGAACTGGCTGTCGGAGCTCCTTCTAGATTCTACATGGGTATGATGCATAATAATGGCTGAACTGGGTGGGGTGGTGGTCGGAAAAGGCCCTGGCTCCGGAGTCCCTGGGAGTATGAGGTGCCTGTCACATGGAGCATGGCTTCACAGAATCGTCAAACGGGCAGGCGGGCTAGATGTCTGCCCCAGCATGCTGCCGCACACGACTTTTCTGTGAAGGCTGTCAGCAACGGCTGGCAACGCCGCAAGAAGCGATGGGATGTACCTGGGATGACATAAGGGTCTGATGGCGGGATGTTGCCTCATGCATCGAGGATTCTGCTTGCAAATGGCCTCGTGACGATGGGCCTTGACCGAGCGTGCCTATGTAACAGGCTGCTTGTGCATCCATGTTCTGTCGCTCTCCATCTCTCTTCCTTTTTTGCCAGGGTTGTGGTGGGGAGCTGCCTCCCCACCGCGCGCGAGTGCGCCCCCGCCTGTTGCGGGTGCCCAGATGTTACATGCAAGCGCACTCAAATCATGGACTCGCGAAAAAAGGAAGACTCAACACTACGGTACATAAGCGATGTCCAGGGGCCTTCCATCGACTTAACCTCTCTCGCTCTCTCGCTCTCTCTCTCTCTCTCTCTCTCTCTGTCTCTTGGTCTCTCTCCCTTCACACTTAAGTCTATGCATACATTCATGCATGTGCGTGTGCATGCATGCATGTATGTATGCACGTATGTATGTGTATGTGTGTGCATATGTCTGTGCATGTGTGCAGCGTGCATGCATGCCTATGCCTGCCTGCCTGCCTGCCTGCCTGCCTGCCTGCCTGCCTGCCTGCCTGTCTGCCTAGCTGTATGCGTATGTGCTTATGTCTGTTAGTATATAGGTGTGAGCATGTGTGCATTTGTGTGTAGTGTAGACGCCTATGCAGTATCAGAACTACGCCTACCAGATCTACCTATTTTATATACCTACAGTAAATACAAAAGCTGTCTGCTCGATCCACATGCATATGTATATGCACGTATACACACTTGTATCCACAAAATGCACAGAGAAATTTGAGCCGGCAAGAGGCAACGAATGCTGCACTCACAACTCACCTCTTGCAGCTTGCATGAGCCGTCTGGCAGCTCGCTCCGACTCGACTGAATGCACCGCCTGAACTTGAGTTTCAGCTGAGAGACGTCCCACCACCACCAGCATGAAACGCAGGAAGCGCTGCGTCGTAACCTCCCCAGCTCAAGACTCGAATGAGTCGGCTTCGCCCTTGACAAAAAAATTCTCTCACATTCCCCCCAGTTTATGGCTGAGCCACGGGCCTGAAATTGCATCCAAGGGGCTCAGTGCCGTGGGATGCATGGAATCCGAAGCCATGGACCCCAGAAGAACCAATGCAACCTGTCAGAGTCATCCGAAACCATCTCGGCGCACGACGAGACGAGAACGAGACGAGATTCGGATGAATCGGACTTGGTGCGATATAGTCATCAGCGTTGTAGTAAGTAGAAAGACGCACGCATTTGTCAGGTCAGCAGAACTGGCGGATGCTCTCGCGCCGGTAGAAGAGGACGCAGAAGAAGATGCAAGTGCCATCAAAGCATGAGGCTGATGTGGGAAACAAGGTTACCTAGGCAAGTTGAGGTGAAGCATCTGTAACAGAAATTGCGAGTTCTGCGGGCCTGCCAGTGCCACCCGGGTCTGCAAGCCATCAGCATCGAGTCACAGCCTTCTCAGGGACGCTGATTACCATGGGCCGTGACCTTCTGACATGCGCTGCGGGTTACTGACATGCATCCAAGATCATCCAAGGGCCCCCTTTAGGATCCCAGAAAAGGTACGGCAACCTGAGAAAAGGGACCCTAAAGGGGACCCCAATTTAGAGAACTACCCAAGTGCTAAAACGGATGGTGGACCGCGCAGCAACTCTTGCTCCGAGGGTCTGAGGTGACTGGGACTATAGTGACTATACTGTAGGGGCCTTAGTAATTGGAATAGGGCTTTGGCGTATATTATACTATAACTGTAATAAGGAATCCCCAAACTGTATAGGTAATTATTTAGGCCCTGATGCTGTCGAGGAGCTGATGATATCCGTTGCCAAGCGCTCCAAGTGGTGTACAGTGAGGACGGACAAGGCTCGCCGCCACTCATATGCTTTCCTTATAACCAAGACGTAGATTTCAACACGGACTTTGGCCTGAAGGATGTTGCCGTTTTACTGCTCTCCGGAGTCTCCGGAAATTTAAAGATAACAATAAACGAAGCTTTCAACATGCGTTCAGCTTGCTACATTCATTTGTCGACATGACGGTCCCCAAACTCCAAACCCTCAACTCACAGCATCCTCCGCATAACGACATGATGATGATTCGGATAAAAGCTTAACCCGTAAACCCGTGAACCCTTAACCCCAAAGTGGGAAGGTCCTTTTAACCCAGCCGAGCCACTCGCACGCTGCCAGGAGGGCACCCAAACCTTCCCGGATCCGGTGTGCGGCGATCATACTGCATGGTGCCATAACGGGCGGTACACACTTCCGGGCTTTAGCCTTAGAGCAGGCAGAATTTAAAACCATGAATCGCTTCCCCCCCTCCCTGAAACGTTCCGGAAAACTTCCTGAAAACATCACCGCAACAAGGGGCTTCAGGAGCAAGACCGCGAGTAAAAGCAAGAGCAACAGAAGGAGATAGAGCAAGAGCAGCAGCGGGAGCAGGAGCAAGAGCAGGAGCAGCAAGGGCAGGAGCCGCAGCAGGAGCAGAGCAAGAGCAACAGCAGGAGCAAGATTCCCGCAAAGTGACAGTAGCGATAAAGACGACCCCTCATAACTGAACGCCTTGCGTTTGGAAATCCTATGATATGCGAGAATCTGTCGGGTAATGGTTTAATGCTTCGGTGCAGAGGTTTAGGATTTCAGAGTTAATGTCCCCGACCACCCGACAAACGTGGAAATTGAATTGCTGCGAGTTTAGGTATTTGAAGCGCTAGCAATGCCACCATGCGATAAGACGGCTCAAAATTGTGGAATGAGCAACTATAGACAGTGGTCTGAGTCCTATTCTTGGAGCAACTGAGCGCCCAAGCCCCCCCATAAATCCTAAGCTGCAAACCCAATTTCAAACCCTTGAAACCCTAAACAGCAAACCCAAGCCCCTCAAACGGTATACAAACCCCTCACCCCTCTTTGTTCCTGGACCTTCCTGGGTCCCAGGACCGAGAGCCAGAGCGCAGCGCCAGTGCGAGGAGTTCTCGCACCTGATTGCTGCAGGGGCCCCGCAGGGCTTTACATTCTGTTGTACCATACCATATGATAATATCTTATGATAAACTCTTCATATATACATATGAATATATTCGTTATAAAAAAGTTAGAACATACTATACTCTATTATTTTATGTCATAGTATGGAGTTGTATTTTCTTGAAGGCTTAAACCGATAATCAATGGTAGGACCTGGTAAGTAGGGAGAGTACGCGCTTGAAGGCTTGGTTTGGATTTTGGGTTTGGATTTAGGGTTTCGGGATGTTTCGGGTTCAGGGTTTGGAATTAGAGCTCTGCACAACCGGGTCTTCGTTGGAAGCAAGATGGTCGCGTGACTAGAACAACTGTATGCATCTCGACGCAACTGCAACAACTATGACTGTTATGCCCACTCATAGTCATACTCGTACTATTGCTTTCTGGGCAATAGGAGCTAGTATTGATAGTATCACTATGCAACACCTGGCTTCAACGGACATGCAGAGACGGGGTCCCACAAAAGTGTTGAAATCCGATCTAAAGGGCTCAGGCTTTGAAAAATGACGGTCTCGGATTTAAAATCTGTGGTTGACAGGTATTTCGGGGTTCGACCTTGTGAAATTTAGCCTGACTTGAGGGTCTTTGGATTTAGGTAAGTACCGGGCCGTGAACACACGACGTTCCAGTGTCTTAGCCCTCACACCTTCTGTGCAGCCATACTGACCTGTTTATTTAAAGAGCCTGAACGAGGTCCAGCAGCCGGCAGCCTCTATAATACTTAACTCTCAACCCGAAACCCTTCGGAAAATCTACTTCAACAGCCAGTCCCTTTTAGCCTTCGCAGGAGGCACAGACCTTTACCGTTCACGAGGCCCCTAAACCGCGAGGAGCATTGATCGTAGTTAAGGACTACTATGTGCATATTAATGTTACCAGTATGGACACCTTAATGTCATTCTTATGAGCCGTTTTCTTTCAGTATGATGGTATTAACCGAGGTCTTGTTCTTTGTTGGGCGAGCGGCAGGGCTGGCAGGTTGGGAGCAGGTCTCGCACCTCGTTAAAGGCTACAGGGTAGTATTACGATTTAGAGTTTTGGGCTTTGGGCTTGGTATTCAGGTGCAGCTTTAGTTTAGTTGGCTTTTCAGGGCTTCAGGTGTACAGGCAGCCAAAGAACCATCAAGACATAAATGCTTTAAGGCAACAATGTGCCTGAACGTTAAGGTTCCAGTAGCTTATATGTAACTATGTACTTCTTCGGTTCCTAAGTGTCATGTATCTCGAGTCACTCTCTCTCTCTCTCTCTCTACACCCTAGATGTGAATATTATATATATATATGTGTGTGTATACACACGTCAGACAGACACATACACACATACACACATACATACATACATACATACATACATACATACCCGTAAGGTTTACGCACTTGTCCTTACAGAGGGCGAGATCTGCAGCTCAGAGTGCCAGTTCCGGTCCTAATAGGGCAGACCTCAAAGGAAGGCAAGAGTGACTCTTAACATCATTGCCTTTACTCTTCTATCGCCTTCGTGACCTTTGCTGTTGGTCTCATTGGTGATAGCTCCGAACGATGCTGACAGTCACTGCAAAAAGGCAGCACTCGTAAACCACTAGCTGTAGTCGTCGTCGTAGAAGAAGAAGTAGTAGTATTAGTAGTAGTCGTCGTCGTAGAAGAAGAAGAAGTAGTAGTAGTAGTGGTGGTAGTGGTGGTAGTGGTAGTAGTAGTAGTAGTAGTAGTAGTCGCAGTAGTAGCAGTGGTGGTAGTATTAGTGGCAGCAGTAGCAACCGTCGTCCGTCGTTGTAGCATTAGTAGTCGTGGTTGTCGGAGAAGGACGTGCAAGTAGGAGGAGAAGAGCAGCAGCAGTAGCAGCAGCTGCAGCAGGAGTTGCAGCAGGAGTAGCACGAGTAGCGGTAGTAGTCGTCGTCGCGGCGGTGGTGGTGGTGGTGGTGGTGGTGGTCGTGGTGGTGGTGGTCGTGGTGGTGGTGGTGGTGGTGGCGGCGGCGGTGGTGGTGGTGGTCGTCGTTGCTGTCATCACTTAATTATCAGCAGGCAGACTGCCCGACATGATCTAAGCTCTGCACGCACTGATGGCTGCATTGTAGCCTGATGCACTGCAGCGCGACACTCTGGATACATGTGCTTAACAACTCTTGCTGCTTGACATGAACATGAACATGAACACATTCGAGTTCACGATGCTACTGCCTTCCTGTTGCTGACGACCGAAGCGAAAATCATGACAGCGATGAAGGTGAATGCGAGAAGAACACGGTGCTGGTGGTGACGGAGCTCATGGTGGGAAACTCGACCAGTAAGATCAGAGGCCAGAAAGCCTGCATTGGTCCCATGCTCATACTTGGAAACTTGTCGCTCTCCGACCAAGTGGGGTCCGACGAGGATTCATATATAAGGGCCTGAATAATCGGAATAGGGTTTTGGGGGAGTATATTATGCAATGGTTATGATAAGGAACCCCCAAAACAGTATTGGTAGTTATTTAGACCCCTGTATTAGATTGGATGACTGATACAGAGCTGTGAGTCCTTGCAACGTCAATGTTGATGCCTGCCGAGCACAACTTTGGATGAGGCCACGTGGATTAATGAAACAAACATGGGACCCAGAAAATTACTGTAAGAGGGGAGAACGGAGAACACAGCTGCATCAAGAACACCCACACCACAGTCATCCATGAATGAGAGCACAAGGCTCAACAGCTCATGTCAATGCTCACAGCAAGGCCACCAACTAAGAACGGACCTCAACAAAACGGCTCGCCTACACTCCGAAAACATCTAAGAGCCAAGAAGCTAACTTCATCTCGTCGAATGCTGCAGACTTGCATGGCCCCAAGGAGAGACACAGCCCACCTTCAGTGATAGAGTTGAGTTAACAACTTGCAACTACTGACGCCACTGAAGCTCAGACGATACCTGCAGGGAGGTCCTTTTGGCATGGTTCATCTGCCTGAAATCCGAGGCTTCCGTCGAGTCATCATCATGGACAATCTGAAAATCCGATCCTCAATTCAAGCACGGACCCTGTCAGGTAAAAGGAAAAGTCCAACCTCCACTCCACACTCTTCTCACAAGCGCTGATGGCAGCGTTGCATGCGATACTGTCCAAGTCCGCCTTAGACGCGGGACCAGTGCAAGAAATGGATAGCAAAATGCCTCTCGTAAAAATACACGAATGTAAGGAAACTGCAGACCCGATCTGAACCTCCACGATTCCTGCGCAGCCTACCATGATGATCCTCTTGGAATAAGAAGAAGTAGTTGGTGCTAGCAAACTGTGCCGAGCAGCTTTGCGGTACTCTGCTGATGCTAGAAGCCGCAAAGCAGCGCGCCATTCTCGCGACTTCCTGGGCAGGCCATCTAACCCACGGGCTCGAGCGTACCCCACGTGACGGACTACGACCCATCTCCGAGAGCTGCTTCACGCACGTTGGACCTGAACCGGATTCAGCTAGAATCGGCTAGTAGCTGATGGCATGCCTGAGTCGGTCGCATGCCACAGTGGGAAAGATCTTAGTGCTCCTAAGCCCTAAGCCCTAAATCCTAAACCCTGAACCCCAAACCCTAAAGCCTAAACCCAAAGATCCCAAACCCGGAAGCCCAAAACCCTAAACCCCAAACCCCCAAACCCCCAAACCCCTAAACCCTAAACCCCAAACCCAGAAGATCCTAAACCCTAGAGGTGGCCCTAAAGCCTATACCCCAAGGTGAGTTGTGGAAGCCCCAGGCCAGACCCCCGGGATCTTCTCAGAGGACTTGGACAATGCAAAGAAACGAACTCAGTTTGGGCTTAGGGTTTGGGGTTTAGGGTTTAAAGGGCTCAGGGTTTAGGGGTTTTGGGGGTTTACGGTTTAGGGGTTATGTAGAGTTTCGGGTTTAATGTGGCTTCATTGTGGCAGTCCGGATTTTTCCCTTGGTCGCTTCTTCCGGAGGATATCCTCTGTCTTCTCAATCCCGTCAACTACAACCCGCTTCTCACAAATCTCTATAATCAGTATTACTGTTATCAATGTCATATTCCGGTTATTCGATTATAAAATATTGTTGTTATATTGAAAGATGTTGTCGTGCCGAGATGCTCACACGCACTCACCGCCGCACTGAGGCCGACTGGGCCGCGCCTATGCACAAGCAGAGAGCCCTTCACAGCGGGATTTCTTCTCACAAGCTTCCGAGTAGGATTGTGTCAAAGCCGAAGGAAGCACATGAAGGCTGCAGAGAGCTTCTGTAAAGCTGAGATGTGGCAACTTCCGCGAAAATCCGAGTTTGAGCCTTCTTACCCTTTGCACTTCTATGTGGAAGTGTTTGGGACGTTGCGATCACTCACGACCCCGTGGCATCGAATCTGAACGACACTGCCATGATGAGGCATTGATTCAGTACACGACAAGTGCCCATGACTTCCTCGACGCACGTCCAGCCTCTGGGCATCTCTGCGCGTCTCTTCACGCAGATTGCACCTCACACCCCAAATTCCGATAAGACAACTTTGTGATCACGGCACAACACAACAATCTGTGCAGGTCGATGGCCCATGGGAATGGCACTAGTACTACCAACAACCACATTAATGACACTGAAAGCAATAGTGCAGTCCGAAGAATGCTACAGTGTGTAGATAAAGGAGTTGCTGAGCAGGGGTAGTGGTGACGGTTGGTGGTGACAGAGGTAGCGACAATAGTAGTAAAGTCGTCGTCGTGGTCCTGGTCGCAGCTGCAGTCGCAGTAGTAGTAGTAGTAGTAGTAGTCGTCGTCGTCGTCGTCGTAGTAGTAGTAGTAGTAGCAGTAGCAGCAGCAGCAGCAGCAGCAGCAGCAGCAGCAGCAGTCGCATTCGCGTTCGCATTCGCAGTCGCAGTCGCAGTCGCAGTCGCAGTCGCAGTCGCAGTCGCAGTCGCAGTCGCAGTAGTAGTTAGTAGAAGCTAGTAGTCGTGGTCGTCATCGCCGGCGCAGTGTTTGCAAGCAGCAGCAGCAG